CGGGCTCGTGGGCTCCTTGAAGTAGACCGGCCCGCCACGGGCCTTGCGCACCATTTGGGACCGGCCCACCAGGCCCGTTTGGCCCATTTGGACCGCGGTCCCAGTCCGGTCCCGGGCTGGGCACGACCCACAGTGCAACATTAATTCCACATGCTCATCAATGCATCCTCACCTGAACCACCCCCAAACCACCCCAACACCCAACCCCCTCCCCCCGACCACACTCCACTCACCCCAACCTCCCAACCTAAATAGAACTATTATTAAGATTACTTTCTTTTCATGTTGTAGATATTGTACCTTTTTCTATTTCAACAAGATGAGTATATTCTTTTCATGATGTAGTAAAAGTATTTTCTTTCATTTCAATAAGACGAGTATTTTATTTTCATGATGTAGAAAAATATTTTCTCATTTCAATAAATTGAGTAGTTTTTTTTCTCATGATGTACAAAAAGTATTTTCTTTTATTCAATAAAATGAGTAATTTTTTTTTATGTTGTAGTAAAGATACTTTCTTTTTCAACAAAATAAAGTATTTTCTTTTTAGTTATCAAGCTCAAATTTTAACGTTGTTCTTGTGTGAAAAAGTAAAGTAACACATTAGTTCCTTTGGGTTTGTGTGAATTTTGAAAAAAATAATTAAATTTTTGAAGAAAATAGAGTGGAGGGTGGAGGACTGAAAACATGAGGATTTTGGGGAAGGTGAGGTGAGGAGAGTAGCATAAAAAGTTTATTTTCCTAAAAATATTTTTTACTCTCTAAAAAAAATTAGAAAATATTTTTCGTAAAAATTTTTTCACTGACCAACCAAACAAGAGAAAATAAATCATAAAAGCACTCATTTTTCTGGAAAACATTTTCCTCCCTGCCAAACACACCCCAAAAGTAATCAAATTTTGTAAGTTTACGCAAGTGTATATTTAGTGGGCGTTTGGACATAAGAATTGTAAAATTCCAAAACATGGTGAAATTTTTTTCAAGTGAAAATGGTATTTGAAATTTAGAGTTGGTTTGGACAAGAATATAATTTTGGGTTGTTTTTGAAGTTTTGTGAGTAATTTGAGTGAAAATTTTAAAAAATAGCTTTTTGAAGTTTTTTAAATTTTTGAAAATTTTCAAAATATATCTTCAAGTGAAAATTAGAAATTTTACGAACAAATGCATTTCGAAAAAAAGTAAGAATTTGTTGGAGCAAAGGAAAAAATTTCTTATGTCCAAACGGTGCTTTAAAGTATTTCGTGTAAACTCTGAGTATGAGCGAGAGCAACGAAAAAGGAAAAAGCCATTTTTCGCTCCTAAACGACGGTGTTTTATTGAAGGCCTAAAAATCTAAAACACGCCGTTGCTTGAACCAGAACGTCTTCTTCCTTGGCTGCACTACCAAAACCCTGATAAACCCTAAACCCAACAACCCTCAGAGGCTAATCTGCGCAATGGACGAGAAAGAAGCATCAGCTTCAGCTTCAGCGCCATACCCTAACCCCGTACAATCAAGTGAATGCGAAGAGTGCAAGTCAAATTCATGGAAATACAAATGCCCTGCTTGCTCTAAACGCACGTGTAGCCTTCCTTGTGTCAAATCCCACAAGGAAAGAACTGGCTGTACTGGAAAAAGATCTCTCACTGATGTCGTCCCTTTGTCCCAATTCAACGATAACATCCTTTTATCAGGTTTATTTCTTACTCTTAACAATGAATTTTCATCCTATATAGTTGAAGTTTCTTTTTTTTTTCCTTCCCATTTTGGTACTTGTTATGATTGCTTAGGATTTTCTATGGAACTCGTTGCCTTAATATTAACATGCTTTTTGCTTAATAATTTCTAAATTCAGTCTCACTTTGAATCCCCTTGGCATGACAAGACGTGTAGTGGTAAACAGGGTTCAAAAGTTGCTTTAGGTCATATATTCAAATCCCAATTGTGATTTTCTAGATTCTTTTTGGATCCCCATGTATAAATTTTTGGTTCTGCCACTGCTTCGGTAGGATGTATTTGCTTCATCAAGGTTGAAGATATCCTTGCAGTAGTAACATGAGTGCAAAAAAAGTTACTGAAATTGTTGAAATAGGTGGAGAAAGTGTAAAAGGGGAGTTATTACTGAAAATATTGGAAGCTTTGCGATAGGAGCCTGATAGTTTGGTTTCACATGCCCTTTCTTCTTTCTTTTTACTTTTTTCTCTTTTCTTCCAAAGTGGAACCCTTGGCATGCTGCTAACTTTTGCTTCCAAAGTAATAAAAAAAAATTTCCCTCCAAAAGTTGCGCAAGGTCAAGTTTATAAGAAGTTTTTGTAATAAACTAGTTTCCCTTTGACAATGATAGGTTTACTTATTCCAGTTTTATTAATCTTTCTATATGCCTTTTTTTTTTCCAATTTGGAGGTTTTGCTAAGAGTTTTATGTTAAACGTCCCATTCAGTCTTGTAAATATGCTTCATTCTGTGGGATCTATCTACTTCACCTATGAGCAGGGGCGGAGCTAGCCTAAGAGTTACGGATTCGGCCGAACCCAATAACTTTGGTCCAAATCGTGTATTTTTTTTTAAGAAATCCATTGAATATGTATGTTAATTTAGATGTAACTTAAACGGACTAGAATTCCGAACCCAAAGCTTCAGATCCTAGCTCCGTCTCTGCCCGAGGAGGCATTAATTCATTGTCTATGTTGGCGAAAAGCTCTAAAAAGCTCTCTAGGTCTATTGGCGCATTAAGCGCAAAACACAATTTAAGTATGGGCTTCAGTAAAGAAAAAGCGTGATGGGAAATAAAAATAAAAATAGATATGTAATTTAAGTCTTAAGAAAAAGTAACAATTTCATTCATAATGTTTTTCTTAATAACTAATGAACTAATTTGCCGGTTATATCTGTTGTTTACCACTGCTTGATTCAAAGATAGAACTCATGCGCAATGAGTACGCACGCCTTAGTGCTTTGCCTACACAGAAGTGCAACTTAGCAAGGCAAAGCGTCCTTCCCGAGCTTTTCTGAGCTTCAGGGCTTAAGCGCGCCTTAAATGATCCTTTGACAATTCCATTAGTTGGGAAGAAGTCTCTCAACAATGGTGAATATCTTCTGTTATGATGCTTTTGGAAACTGTTTTTTTTTCCAATTGATGAATGCCTTTTGAAACTTTTACTTTTGGCAGATTATAACATGCTTGAGGATGTTAAGAGAGTTGCTGAATCAGCTAAAAGAATGAGACAGAAGCTATGTGGCTACTCTCATTTTAGGCTTCCTTTACATCTGAAGAATCTTCAGCGAGTTGCTTCTAATCGTAGGACCAAAATACTCTTCCTATCAAGCGGAATGTCGAGAAGATTGAAAAATCAAACTTATTACAATAAAATGTCTGGTCTCGTGGAGTTGTCTTGTGCTTTGAGTTAATGATGCATACATTTCATTTGTATAATGGCGGAATGCTTGGCATATGGATATCCTTTATTGCTTTGAAATTAGGAGGCCTATATTTGTTTCAGTATTGTTTTTGTTTGAAGTCCATAAAGTTGCAGTAATAATGCATGCTTTGGATAATCTCATTGTGCACATAATATATATTTTTTGTGCTATGATTATACGGCTTTCTAGGAGTGTTCTAGGCCTGTTTAGTTTTTTTTTTGCCATTTAAATATAGAGAACCTCTAATACATTTTATTTCTATTTTTATGTTGCATGATGTTGACCTGGGATGAATTTAATTGGATAAACATGGTCGGTGAGGATTCATACAATTGACCCCAGCTGTTTTGGGATTGAGGCGTAGTAATAGTAGTAGTTGTCATTATACGACTTGCTAGAATTACAGAAGCAAGCGCCCTTCACATTACTTGGTTTGGCATTCCCTAAGCCAACAACTTGGTGAATTGGTTCCTGCTTCAACTTTTTTTTTTTATCCATAAAATTGTTCCATATGGCATATGCCTTTGGAAAATATCTCCTTTTCTCCTGTGGATTTCTCATTGTTCTCATCTTGGACTTCATGAGAAATACAAGTCTCCTGTTTATAGCCAGTTGGTTTAAATGTGAGCCTCCGTTAATCATTTTTCCTTTCCACTAGATTCATTGTTAGCCACGTCAGTTTGCCTTGTTTGTTATTATTGTTACTACTCTATCATCAACCTTATCTTCAGCTTTATCTTTATAAGGTGCTTCCCCCTTTGTGCTCTTAAAAATACCATCTGGGCTTTTGTTATCTTATGCATCAGCAATTCTGAGATGTTTTTCATGATTAACAAATTCTTATTTATTCCGCAGGAAAAAGTTCATATCTTGGACAATTGAATGGCGTTTTCACTCGACAGATATTGTGTTGATTGATCATGGGTAAACATCCTTCTTGACTAAGGCCTCATTTGTTTCTTTTAAGATTAAGACGTCTGAATCTGAATACACGTCTGAATATCAAGATGTGTTTTAAGATTAAGACATCTGAATCTGAATACAGATCTAAATATGTTAAGATGTGTATTAAGATCTGAATACTAAAATTAAGACTGTTTGGTTTTTAATATCTGAATGCATAAAATTTATCTTTATTTAAAAAAATTTAATATTCTATCAATAAAATATACTCCCTCCGTTCCAATTTATGTGAACCTGTTTGACTGGGTACGGAGTTTAAGAAAAATTGAAGACTTTTGAAATTTGTGGTCCTAGACAAGTTAAAAAGGGGCCCAGAGAATTTGTGTGGTTATAAAAGCTTCTCAATAAGGGTAGAATTGTAAGTTTAAGCTAAATTGTTTCCAAATTTAGAAAGGGTTCATTCTTTTTGGAACAGACCAAAAAGGAAATAGGTTCACATAAACTGGAACCGAGGGAGTATAGTTTTTTAAAATATGATAGTTGTTGGTGGTGATGGCTAACGGGTGAACGCCGACTAAAGGCGGTGCCGCGGTGGTTGGTGGTAGTCTTGGTTGATGATGGTGGTTCATGCTAGTAGCTAGTACTGATTGGTAGTGGTGGCAATTATAATTGATGATGGTGGTGGGTCGTGAAGTTAATAATGGCGGGTGGTGGTTTGTGATTGAGGAAGGTGGTGGTAGCTTATAATTATAGGCGGTGCCAGCTGTTGTTGTTAATGGTGATAGGGTGGTTGGTTGTGGTAGTTGAGGTGGATAAGTGTTGACTGTGGGTGAGAACAATGGTGGTCGGAGTGGTAGGATGGTGGATGGTGATGGTCGATAATGGTGGCGGCTATGATTGAGGATGATGGTGGCGTGGTGGTGGTTGTGGTGGTGGTGGTGTGGCTGAGTATGGTGGTGGTGGTGGCATGGTGGTAGTTGATAATGGTAGGCGGTGGCGGTAGTTAATAATGAATATGTGATAATTGCCTCTGTTACAGATCTTAATCATACGGACCTATTCAGACCCATTAAGTGATTATTAAGTGAAAAAAACAAACATACTTAATGCTTAAGATCTGAATAATTAAGATTCAGATTTCAAAAACAAACGCACTTAATGTCTGAGATCTGAATGATTAAGATTCAGACCTCCATCAAGTGCAAACAAACGAGGCCTTACCCTTTGTCAAACAAAAAACAAAAGACACCCTTTGTATTTTCCCTTTTGGTTCCTGAAGTTTTCATCTTTTGTTTTGACCTACATAATATTGATCTACACACTGTCTTGGTGAACTTTCCCGTACTTACTAATTGCTTTTGTTGCAGAGTACATGAAGACACAAGCCTCTGCTCCGTGATTGAGAATCATTTGAAACCAGGCCCTTGGAATCATCCATTGAGGCAATTCTGTGAAGAGCCACTGGATTCTCTTAAACTTTTCATCCGCAAAAATCCAAAGGTCTCTTCTGATTTCTTGGATCTTGTTTCATATAATTATGTTCGTGGCTGTTTTCAGCTCTTTTGGATAGCCTGATAACTGATTCCATCTTTTCCTTGGGGGTAAATTTTGTTTACAATGCCAAACAACAAGTAGTGTGCTTTATGTAATTTCTTTTTCGTTGTTTTTTTCTTCTTTTTTTTTGAGACATGCTTTTCTTATTTATTTTTAATAACTATTTATATATGGGTATATCTTCAAATGGGTTATAGTTAATGCTGCCAAAGGGAGTGTATGGAGTCTGATTACTTTGTTTGGTGGCAGGGCGCACAATCACCTTTTTATCAGTTGGATATAAAGGCTTCGCTGCGTGAACAACTAGCCACTAAGGTTGTCCTAGAGTACCCTGTCATTTATGTTTTCCTGCCATCACACAGCTGTGATTTTGAAGTAATCAAATATTCTGTCCCTCTAAGAGTGGAGCAAAATGAGCTCGATTGTGATAGCCGAAGTCCCAAGGGAGTAATGTTCAGGGAGGAGGATATAGAAGATGGTGGATCTTTAGACCCACACGTTTCAGATCTCTTGACTTATACCAACTTAAATGTTGCATCCAAGTCATCTGCCAATAAAAAGGAGACCAACAAATTGGAAGCGAGCAGAGGTGCCAGATCATTTGTAAATGAACATTTTAATGAAGATGACCAACATATATGTGATGACACATACTCAGATCTTGATCTGGTTCATTCATTTATGAAAGAAAAGGATCTGGGGGTAAAAGAGGACTGTTCATACTTGTGTGATGTTTTACCTGTGGAAGGAGAATTGGAGGAAGGAGAGATAGCATTCAAGTCATCTACGGAAGAAAGGGAGACTAACAAATCTGTATTATCAGAAGGCCAAAGTGCCAAATCATTTGTAAGTGGACTTCTTAATGAAGATGAAGATATATGTGATGATACATACTCAGATCTTGATTTGTTTCTTTCATCTATGAACGAGAAGGATCTGGGGAAAAACAGGACTTTACATATTTGAGTAATGTTTTACTCGTGGATGAAGAATTGGAGGAAGGAGAGATAGCTTGACTTCTTCTTTTCCAATTCCTTCTTGCTAATGGTAGTTAAATGCAACAAAAGTCGAGTCATTGTTATGGTGGACTGGTGCTAGTGGTACAAACCAGGCTTGGCGTGTCAAGTAAATACTTGCTTTTTGTGCCACTGACAATTGATAGCAGAATTTCTGATTTATGGTTTCCTGAAGAAATTTTCACTTCTGAATTGGTGAGGAGCATTATAACCATATTCTGCGGGTTTCTGGTCCGGATTCTCTTACAGCCCTTTTTTGTGGGATGTGAAAGATCCAGACATGGTTGTCGTTGGCAAAATTTTAGTTATAATTGAGAGCTGTCTCTACAATGAGGTGGTGCTAAATGAGATCAGTCGGATTGCAGAATCTGCTAGCTGTGCACTTTCCAGTTCTAGCTGATATCTGGAGTAATATGCACATTTAAGCAATGGTAACTTCTTATGCTACCTTTCTTATTCGGTTATCAACAGCATATCATTTTTCTGGTGCCAAAGGAGACGCAAACCTCCGCAATTCTTGACCCATTGCTTAGTATAACCCTATAAATGGTTCTCAGGAATGATGTTCATCTGGGGTGATCAGGCGCAGAAGACCCATTTTGTTGTCTACATTCCTCCCTTTTGTTTTCTTAAAGAACTTGGTTCATTCGACAATTGGCAATTGGATGTGTTTTTTCATATGTAATTTATGAGTTTTAGCCCTTGCAGAAATGGGGTACTTGAAATGTAATGTCGTTTCCACCAGAAAGATAAATGTTCCAAGAAGTGTTTGATATCTATTTAATATACTGATGTTACAGATATCATGTAAAATTTGATGGAAAAGCCCAAGGTTGACGAATGATAATTTTGTGAAAAATTTGAGGCAATCGAGTGGAAAAGCCCAAAGGTTGACAAATGATAATTATGTGGAGAAATTTTACTGTTAGATTGCTGAACGATTATGCGGTCTGCGAGATGTTTGTTTAATGCTTTTTGAACATACTAGGTTTAAATGTACAAATCTTAATAGTCCATGTGATAATGGGAGACCTCGTTTCATGTAATTTAAATTTTTATATAAGGGTCTTTCGTATGTGGTTAATCACTAATTCCGTTAGTGTAGTTTTTCTTCTTCTGGGAATTCGATTAGAATTCTTTTTTCTCCTTTTATGAGTTTTTGACTAATATTGTCCCTTATTTTTGAGGGTAGGTTTATTTTGGTCCCTCAAATATAAGCCTGAGCATATTTAGTCCCTTAAGTATGCTAAAGTGGAGCACCTTTACTCTGTGTTCAAAAACTAACGGTGTTACCCAACTCTGATTCTTGAAGCAAATCTTCTGCTCTGAAGCAAAACGTTTCCTCTCCTTTTATTGGATAACGCGAATTATCACTTTAACTCCTCATTTTTACATAATGTCTGCTAAACAAATATCGCAACCATAAATTGCTAAAAGTATCATAAAAGTATAAATACACATAGTACAACCCTTGTAGTGTATGTCAGATACTCTGAAATTAACTAATCTAGCTTATGCTTGCACACACAAACTAGATAGTTAAAAAGCATACATACAACATAAATAAGTTGCTTTTTATGAAAAGCAAATAACCTAATAGTAAAAGTTTTCACTTGCCTCGAGATGACAAAATATTCAAATCCACCAAGATGCGCTCCAAAGTCCTCAATCTATGCAAAATACGCACCATCAGATAAGTATACATATTAGACTAGGTCCTAGAATTTTAGGATACTCCGAAATCAAAGTCAACAGTTGATCAACTCAAAAGTTAATTCTCAGGTCAACTAGTCAAATGTAAGGTTCCACAAAAGTTCACCAGGGATCTAAGGATTTAAAGTGTCAAGAACAAGCTAATATGCAGTATAGTTTTGTGGACCTCAGAACGCGTCGCAAAGTGGGCAGAAGAAGCAGCTTGAGAAGATGATTTTGCGGTCAGTTATGCGGACCGTGAATCAGCTTCACTGACCGCAGAATCGTTGCAGAATGAGTTAGAAGCGAGCCATTTTTGGGGTCTTTTCCCGGTGATTATGCGAACCGCATAACAATTTTGCGGACCACATAACCATCGTGAAAAAGGTCAGGCCACCTGGGAAATTTTTGAAGGAGAATCTACGGTCCAATATGCGGACCGCAAATAAAAAGTACATACCACAGAATCACCGCATATCCGACCAGATCATTTTGGTAATTTGGAGGACCTCCCTTTCGCGGACTGCAAAACCGATATGCGGTCCATTTCGCGACCGCATATATACTTCGAAGAGGGTTTTTGAAAAATCTCTTACCCGACTCTTTTTCTAATAAAAGGCATAGAAGTTGTTTTAGAAAGAGAAATGTGATCATTTTGAGAGAGAGAACCATCTTAGAGAGAGAGGAGGAGCTCCACACTTCAACACTTCAATTCCTTGCCCAGTTCTTGGAGATTTGAGGGGAGAAATTTACAAGGTCTTCTTCTATCAAGGTAAGGCTTCATTCCAAGCTCTTATTCATTTTCGAATGATTTAATTGTAGGTAGAATTTGAGGATTGGAGCTTATGGGATGGTGATTGAAAGCCATAAGTTCCCAACCTGAGATTGAGTATTGTGGAGAGTTGGGAAAAAGTATTATTTGATGTAATTGTTGGTTGGGTGTAGTATGGGTGGCCATACGTGTATTGTTGAAGGTCTCATACTACCTAATGGTGGCTATGGATATGAACGTAGTTATGAAAAAGATGTGAAGGATGAGAAAGCACCATTACTAGATGTGGTAAAAGGCTATGCCCTTAGGTGTTTGATAAAATGCCTAAAATACTTAAAATATAGAAACTCTCACTAATGTTGGTTTAATTAAATTTTTGTGATTTAGATTGAGGTATTACAAGTAGTGGAACCTAGTAGGAACCCTGATGAGGATTGATTAAGGTATGTTTGGCTAAGCTCTCCCTATAGAATTGGATACCTCGAACTCCCCTAGGGTACTTCTCTCATATTTCTTTCTTGATGATGTACACACGGTATAAGAAAAACTTATCAGTGTTTGATTTTTGCATATCTTCTATATATGCAACACCTTGGGGGTATACATAATTTTATCGCATATCTTCTATATATGCAAACACCTTGGGTGTATACATAATTTTATCGCATATCTTCTCTATATGCTAGTTCTAAAATATATACATGCCTCTTTATGCATATCATCTCTATATGGGTGACGACCCGATATGTCATTTTGAGTACTAGACTTAATTTCTATATTCCGAGACCTTTTACAACTTTATATGATATTTATTAGTTTGTGTGCGTGGTCCGTGTCGTTTTCTGGAAAGCTTTTACGTAAACGTTTGAAGAAAAAGTAATTTTTGACTTAAAATGAGGTTTGAGTTCACCACGGTCAACATTTTTAGTAAACGACCTCAGTTCGGTATTTTAACGATTCCGATAGGTTCGTGATGTTTTGGACTTGTATGCACGTTTAGTTAGGGTCTCGGGCGAACCGAGTGCGCTTCAACGTTTTATGTGAAAGATTGTGAAAAATGAGTTTTTAAGTCGAAATCTTGAGTTTTGATGATCAATTCTTGTTATTTAATATTATTTTGATGAGTATGATATTGTTACACTTGTGTGCATGCTCGAATTGGAGCTCGAGGGGCTCGAGAAAATTTCGGATGTGTTTTGAAAAGTTTTGGAACAGCTGATGCATAGCTATTGCTGGTGTAAACATGTAGATCTCGCAAATGAGAGGTGCTGCTCGCAAATGCGAGCCTCACTTTTGTGAGTGACTGCTCGCATTTTCAAAGGGGGTTGGGGAAATAGGCACTTTGCAATTGCTAAGTTTGGATTGCAAGTGCGGACTGGGAGAGCTCCGCAAACGCGATATGCCTGTTGCGTTTGCGACACTTGGGAATGCTAGCTAGCTTCGCAAATGCAAAACTTTGATCTTATTTGTGCACATAGGGGCAGTTGCAAATGCGAGGCTTTTGTCGCAATTGCGATTTCTGAGGGTCTGCACTGATCGCATTTGCGATCTTTGTTTCGCAATTGCACACAAGAGTTCACAATTGCGACGTTTGTAGATGGGAAAAAATGGACTTAGCTCATTTTACACGATTTCTCAACCCTAGACTCCATTGAGCCAGTTTTTTAGAGCTTTTTCTTCCCAAATTCATTGGTAAGCAATTTAACTAGTTTTTAATCAATTTTAATTACTTTTCCATAAATTTATCATCAAATCCATTAATTCCAAGGTAGAAATTAGGGGTTTTGGGAGATTTTAGGAATTTTAAAAAATCGAGATTTAGACGTCAAATTGATGTCGAATTTCAAAATAAATCACATAACCAGGCTGGGGGTGAATGGGTAATCGAGATTTGGTCCGAATTCAAATTTCGACCAAGCAAGCCCGGGGTTGACTTTTTAAAAATGATCAAAATTGAACCCCTTTCATTCGTGGGTAGTTTCTAAAGCTTGTTTTAAATTGTTTGATCGATAATTGTCTAGATTCGATTGGTTTGAAGGCTTGTTCAAAAGGAAAATCTATGTTTGAATATTGATTTTGTTGCGTAAAGAGGTAAGTGTCATGATTAACCTTGACGTGAGGTAATTAGGACTTGATTGGTCTATTTGCTACTTTATTTATGTGTGAGAACGATGTATATGCAAGGTGACGAGTGTATATACGTTGCCATGGGTTAAGCATGTGGCTTGGGATATTTAGTTATTTGTCTTCAATCACTTCGTATCTTCATTTATTCCATGCTACTACGTGATATATGCTTTAATTGTTACTTGCCCCTACTTGTCCAATTCATGCTTTCATTCGTTACATTCATTAATTTGCTCTATGTTTCCATATATCCGTGTCTTCATTTATTGACTGCCTTTCCTTGACTTATGTTTTGTATGTTACTAGATAGTCGCTTTTACCCATCTTATGTATTTATTTGTTTAATTCCCTTATTGCATTTCATTGTGAGATATACCGTAGTTGGTTGTAGTTTTGTTCATATATGTCATATATTTGGGATCGGATTGCACGCCACAATATATATTTTAAATTATGTTTGGACACGGGTTGCACGCCGCAACGATATTGATGTTGTACTTGGGATCGGGTTACATGCCGCAATGAATATTAATATATTGCGTGGGATCGGATTGCACGCTGCAACAGTGTTGGTATATATATGTGTGGATCGGGTTGCACGCCTCAATGAAGAAGATACATTTTGACTGTTCTTGACCGTAGGTTTTATATCCATGTGGTATTGTGAATTTGAGCATAGGCAATATTATGGGGCCCTCAGTATGCATTTTCGGTTCCGATTTTCATGTTAATTTTTGATTTCTCTATTATGCTATTGTTGTCATTTATTCTCGTATATGTTTATCGTGAGTGACTTGTTATAGTCTCGTTAATACTTCGTCGAGATTAAGCTCGGCACTTACGGAGTACATGGGATCGGTTATAGTCATACTACACTTTTGCAGATTCTGATGTTGGTCCTAGCAGCATTTAGTGGAGGCTTGCTCGGATCGTCATTTATCTGGAGAATTAAGATAGAGCTACACAGCGTTCGCAGACCCTGGAGTCCCCTTCTTATCTTTATACATTTTACTTCATCAAGACAGTTTATTTTATTTCGGACCTTGCTTGTAGTATTTTTAGTAGCTCATGTACTTGTGACACCTGATTCCAGTATTAGACTAGACAACGTATTTGGAGTTTATTATATACATTTTAAAGATTTACAGCTTTACCTTCTTATTAATATTCTTTTAAAATTGTTAATAACGAATATCGTGTAGCTAATGTTGGCTTGTCAAGCAAGTGTATGTTAGGCACCATCACGACCTTGTGATTGGGATTTTAGGTTGCCTAGGTCTCACGAGTTATGAGCAAGCTCAGTAGAGTCGTGAGGATCGGTACGACGACGTCTGTACTTATCTTCTAGAGGCTATAAAGGCTTTAGGAAATCTCACTTCTTTCTTTCTCTATCGTGCAACTTTATTCTATCATTGAGTTTGAATCATTCTATTCTTGTTCTCTCACATATGGTAAGGACTCATACAACATCCACAACTGATCAGGAGGCGGAACCCTAGGTTTCAGCCACTACCAGGGGTAGGGGCTAGGGCCGAAGGGAGTGCCAGAGGTAGAGGCATAGCTCATCCTAGAGCACGCGCAAGAGCACCTATTGCAGAGCCTCAGATCGAGTAGGAGGAGGAGATCCCTATTAGACTGCGCCAGTTGGACCAGCTCAGGTCCCAAAGGGGTTCATTGCCACCACATTACTTCAGGATGCCCTAGTTCGCCTGGTGGGCCTTATAGAGAGTGCGGCCCAGGCCACTGTGTTCCTTATGACATCAGCCGTCTTTCAGGCAGGAGGGAGGGGAGCCCAGCCTCCCACCACTCACACTCCAGAGTAGATGGCTCATGAACATCAAACTCCGACTGTTTTTCCAGTTGGAGCAGTTCAGCCTGTTATTGCTACACAGTCTGGGTAGGGACCCGCGATGTCGTTCGAGGGGATGAAGAGGTTCGACAAGTTCACCAAGTTGTTCGCTACTCGCTTTGGTGGTACACCTATTGAGGACCCCCATGATTTCTTGGACCGTTGACATGAGTTATTACGCAACATAATATAGTGAAGTCCAATGGAGTCGACTTTGTAGTATTTCAGATATATAGCTCTACCAAGAGGTTGGCAGGAGTATGTTCAGGGCAGACCTGCATGTTCACCTTTACTCACTTGTGCTCAGTTCTCATAGCTATTCTTGGAGAAGTTCACCCTATCACTTAGAGAGAGGACTTTCGCAGCCACTTTGAGCGCCTCTAGTAGGGTATCATGACTGTTACTTAGTACGAGAATAGATTCCTGAATTTATCCCCCCCCTCCCATGCAATTAACTTGATCCTTACTGAGAGAGAGAGAGTGTACAAATATTTATAGATGGACATACTTATGGTATCAGGCTACAGATGGCCAGAGAGACCGAGGATGGTATCTTTTCACGTGGGTTATGGAGATTGCTAGGCGGATCTAGAGGATTCGTGGTCAGGGTAGAGAGGCGGTATCTGAGAAGAGGCCTCATCATTTTGGTAGTTTCAATAGTGCCTCATCGGGAGGTAGGGGTTCATTTGGTAGAGGCCATCTTATCGGGCCGGTTCAGTCAGCACTTCAGGCATCACATGGTGCTTCGGGCAGTCATGGTTCTTATGGTCTCATCCTGAGTAGCTAGCCTATAATGCGCCTTCAGCTCCCATCAGTGCACCACCGATTCAGAGCTATCACAATGGTTATCCGGACCGTTAAGTTCAGTCCCAGATTCAATAGCCACGTTAGTAGAGAGAGTGCTTTGAGTATGGAGGTATGTGTCATATCAGGGGGTACTGTCCCAGACTCCAAAGCAGCATGCCACAGTAGGGTAATCGTGCCATAGTTCAGGCACTGATTTCTCCACTTGCCGCTCAGCTAGCTAGAGGCAGTGGTCAGACCATTAGAGGTGGAGGCCATCTAGGGAGAGGTCTTCGGAGAGGTGGAGGTAAGATTGGTGGGGCTCAGCCCCATTTCTATGCATTCCTAGCTCGACCTAAGGCGGAGTCATCTGATGCGGTCATCATAGGTATTGTTTCGGTTTGCCATAGAGATGCATCCGTTTTATTTGATCTGGGTTCCACTTATTCATATGTGTCATCTTATTTTTCTTCATATTTGGATATGTCTTGTGGTTCTTTAAGTACCCCTATTTATGTGTCTACGCCTGCTGGGGATTCAATTGTGGTAGACCGTGTCTATCATTCGTGTTTAGTCTCTATCGGGGGTTATGAGACTAGGGTAGGCCTTCTGTTACTCAATTTAGTGGACTTTGATGTGATTTTGGGCATGAATTGGTTATCACTATATCATGCTATTCTGGATTGTCACTCCAAGACCGTGACATTGTCTATGCCAGAGTTGTCGGGGTTGAAGTGGAGA